ATAAGAAGTCTGGGAGGGAATTATCACTTCCTTTTTTATAATGAATTTTGAAATCAAAAGGGGCTAATTGTGCCTGCCACTTAGCAAATATTAACTTAGACGCATCATGTTTAAAATCATTATCAAACATATACTTGACTGACTGAGCATTAGTTTTTATCAAGAATTTTTTATTATATAAATCATCTTGAAATTTTAATAAGCACTTAACGATAGTTAACATTTCATGAGCTACCGTCGCATATTTTTTCTGAGCATCGCTCCATTTTCCTGAATGAAATCGAATAAGATATTCATTTTTATCATGCGGATTAATTTGTTTCAATATGCCTCCATACCCAATATTAGACGCATCCGTCACTACAATCTTTGGCCAAGCAGGATTAGCAAGGGTTAAACAAGGAAAAGATTTAACTCTTTCTTTAATAGTCTTTACAAGATTTGTGAGACTATTAGTCCAAGGCTTCTTGTGATCCTTTTTTAGTCTGTCGTATAATTAAGCTAAATCTCGACACAAATTCTTGTAGAAGGGGGAAATGTAGTTTAAACTTCCCAGAAACCGCTGCAATTGCGTCCTATCTGTAATAATATCAGGGAACTTTGATGCGAATTCAATAGATCGTTGAATAGGAGTCATTTTTCCTTAACAAATCAAATGACCCAAAAATCTAACTTCTGTTTTATATAGACCATGAATGGATCTAAGTTTTATTTAAATATAGAAGAATTTTAGTATGGCTTCTCGACTTGGTTCTGAGATTGAAGTACAGTCGGATCTAGTACTACTTTTATTGGCTTTGTCTTTGTGACTCCGTCTGATGAGCCATGGTTTTTAGTCCGAAAAAGAGTTTGATAAGTAGGGTGCCTGATACCCGGTTAGAACTATCAGACACATGGGCTCAATAAAAGTATGTATTAGCTTCTTGACAGACCATTTGCTTGGGTAAAATAATTAAACCATGCAGTCTGAGAAACTATGTTAAAATTCTTGTGTATTTTGATTCTTATGTAGTTGGACTACCTCTAAGAATATTGACTTGGTTGATCTACGATTGGGCGAACCATCGCCAGGTCAGTGATCCTGCATTTTGGTATTCCATCCATTTGTTTCATTGTAAATTGACATTAACTTATATACTCAACTAGGAGTGTACAAAATCGAACCAAATCGCAAATCGAGTCAATCCGGAAAAAAAATCCGACTAGTGATTTGGTTTGACTTGATTTGGTTTTGAAAAAAAACCCGACTATATTTGGATTGGTTTGGTTTTAACTAAAAAAAACCAACTTGAGACCAAACCAATCCGACATTATATATATAATTTTAAAATTTTATTTTATACATAAAAATATTTACTTTGATATAATTTTTAAATATTTCTTATACTTTTTCATAGTTTTTATCTTTTAATATATTATTTCAAGTTTGAAACTTAGAATTATGAATAGACCAATAAAAAATTATAGTCCACAGATGTTGGTAATTATAATAAAGCTTAAATCAAAATCAAATTAATACTAATGCAAAAAGAAAATCAATTCAACACTAAGAATGACAATAATATTGAATATTTGTTCTTTCGTTTTACATTGGTTTAGACAATTAAAATACATAATCTAATTTTAATTTCCTTTAATATTTAGTCATGTAACTAATACTTATTAAACTTAATTTTAGCATTATTTAGTACTTTTAAATTATGATCATTTTCATTATGACTTGTTAATTTGCAATATTTGTTTTATGCGATTTCATTATTATTATTTTTGTTGGATATTTTAGTGTCATTAATTATATCATATTGTGTTATATTTTTAAGAAACATCTTAGATAGTTGTATTTTGGTAGAACTAAAGAAATATTTGAAGTACAAGTAAATTATATGTTTGTATGAATACTTTATCGGAAAAACCCGAAAAAACCCGAACCGAGGTTGAAAAACCTGAGTTTTATTGGTTTGGTTTGGTTTATAAATTTAAAAATCCGACACAAATGGTTTGGTTTGATATTTGAAAAACCCGAACCAACCCGGCCATGTACACCCCTATACTCAACCAATACTTTTCATTTATCTTCTTTTTTTTACGAAAATAATATATTTTTTACAGGAAATTTATTGTATAGATTTAAAAAAATATTTCTTGATTTTAAAGAAATAAAAAATAACAAATGATAATATAAAGGCAAAATAAACAATTAGAAAAGTAATTAAGAAATGGGAAGAGAACGACTATTTTTCAAATTTAAGAAGAAAGTTTAATTTTTTAAATAAAAATTTTGGGGCGTAAATGATTTTTCCTTTTTAGAAAATGTATATGGTACTTGATATTAATGAACTGAATGCAAATCGGAACTCTACCCTTGCCAAGCCATAGAGGTCTATATGATAATCCTTCCGTCTCAATTTATGTGTTACTGTTTGAATTTTAATAGTCAAACGAGCTTTTTTTTTATCGTGAATTTTTTTGGCAGATCTTTTAAATATTTTAAATTATTGATTACTGTCAATTACAATATTTTTTACATTGTTTCCAAATATATAATTTTCATGTCAAGAAATTTGAAATATTCATATCCAAATGCATAAGTAAAATTAATAAATGTTTTGACTTTCAAAATTTGAACGATACCCACGTAAACTAAAAAAGTGGGAGTAAATTGCATGTATTTAGTTTCAAATTTCAGGTAGACTGCTCACCTTATTGTTCACTCAAGTTTAGTTGGGCAGCTTGCCTGATTATTGTTTAAAGTAGGTGATATTTATGAGTTCATTTGGACTTTCTCTTCTTTTGCTTTGATTGTCTTCTCTCTTTAATCTCTTTAAATATTAAAGTGGATTCAATATTAGAGATTAATATGAGCACTTATATTAAGACAATTAGCTATGCATTTAATTCTTAAATAAATGAAATCTTACTAGTTGATAGAGGTGGGACAAAAAGAAAATGAGACATGTAAATAGAAAGCAAGAAATCAAAAACATTTAGTTTTCTGGAATTAAACAGATACAGAGAATCGTATATCGAATGAAAAAAGAATTCGTAGTTATTAAGTTGATGTAGTATTAAAGATTATGGGCATACACACTTATATATGAGACAATTACATATGCATTTACTTCTTAAATAAATGAAATCTTACTACTTGATAGAGGCACGTAAAAAAAAAAAAGACATATTGTAGATAGAAAATAAGAAATCGAACATTTAGTTTTCTTGAATTAAACGAATACAAAATATCGAATGAAAGAAAAAAACTAGTTATCAAATCAATGTAGCTAGTATTAAAGATTATGGGCGCACATACTTATATATGAGACAATTACATATGCATTTGCTTCTTAAATAAATGAAATCTTACTAGTTAATAGAGACATTAAGAAAGAAAATGAGACATATTGTAGATAGAAAACAATAAGGCAAGATAGAACTTATGACCTCGCGGATGGAGAGGGATTCGAACCCCCAATATTTCTAAAAATACTTATCGAATATTTAAATTTCTTGAATTAAATAAATACAAAATATCGAATGAAAAAAAAATAGTTATCAAGTCAATATAATTTTAAAGTTTATGGGCACACACACTTATATATAAGACAGTTACATATGTATTTACTTCTTAAATAAATGAAACCTTACTACTTGATGGAGGTAGTATTGTAGATTGAAAGCATGAAACCAAACATCTAGCTTTCTTGAACTTTGGATACTAAACATCGAATGAAAAAAAGAATTCTATAGTTACCAAGTCAACGTAGTATTAAATATTATGGGCACATACACTTATATATAAGACAATTACATATGCTTTACGTCTTAAATAAATGAAATTTTATTACTTAATAGAGGTGGGACAAAAAAAAAGAGTGATTCATTTTTATTTGTTCACTTTATCATTGCACGCTCCTTAAAAATAATGATTGAAGATAAATATTTTACTACAATACACATATTAATATTAGTTTCTAGTGCAACTTCAATTATCAACTTACAGTCTTGTAGTTTTCAATTCAGCATCAATTATTAGGGCTTTAAATGATATATATATATATATGTTTATCTATGAATGTATTCTCTTGCAAGGTATGCTACTTTTCCATTTCATTTTACTTGACTCTTATATTAAAAATAGATGTTTCAATTTATTTGTTCATTTTAATAAATCAATAAAGTTTTTTTTTTCCACACTATCCTTGGTATTAAATAACTATAAAATAATAGTAGTCAAATTTAGAAATCCAAAACCTCATATTAGTTTAGTAAAATACATTTCTTAATGAAGTTTTCTTAAGAGGTGTGTCAGGTCAATATGAGTCAAGTAATATGGAACTGACGGAATATTTGGCTTGTAAGAAACGAACTCTAATTTTCTTGAATTATTTTTTTGTGTAGAATTGGTTATTTCTGGTTGGAAAAGAAATTAGGGTCATATTAGGATTATATAAATTAGTTTAGGAAAGTCGTGTACTCCTTTATGGTTACGAACATTTTAATTTTAAAGCAATAGAGAGAAAACATGAGAATTAAAGTATGGTAGATTTGAAGTTTTGAGTTGATTTAAGTCTATCAAGTTGTAATCATTTTCCTTGATTGAATTAGTAATTTGTAAAGTTTCTTTCCAATCAATAATAGAAAAATTACCTAAATACACAACTTATTTTACCATATTCTTTAAAATTTCCTACCATTTGAAAAAAATTACAAAAATCCCTACTCTCTCCTATTCTAGATAATCACTTTACGCGATGAATCGGTCGAATACATCACTTTACGTGATGTATCGAAACATAGGTGATATATCGAAATGTTGAGTGAAATATCCAAAATTGAGATGCGATATATCAAAACGTTGAAGGATGTATCTGAAATTGGGACGCAATGTATCAGGTTAGCCCACACCATTTTTACAAGGTTGAGGCCCAAATAATTCTGGTCCACACACCTAACCAGTCCAATTTCACTTCACCTATTTGTATTTTACTCCAATCTCCCTCCCTCTCGAAACCGTAACCAGAAAAATCATGTGGGCCGCGATGAGCCTTTCAGTTGCCGCTCCGGCACCATTCGCCACCACTAAACCGGCAGCGAATCGCCTTTCAGCCGGAGCTCCGAGGAAGTTTCAGCTCTACTCGCAGCGTAGAAACCTCGATTTAGCATACGCGGCGGAGCAAAAGCAGCAAATTCGGAAGAAATCGCAAACAAATCATTTAGGTTATAGGGCGGAGCAGAAGCAGAAATTTTGGAAGAAATCACAAACAACGCACATACACCAAGCAGAAGAAGAACAAGTAGAAGAAAAACAAGTAGATTCAAAGGATGAAGAAAAGAAACTGACCGGATTTGACGTATTGCAAGCACTGGAAAAAGCAACGGCACGGAAAATGAAGAAAAAGAGAAATGGAAGAGATGGTTCATTGTTAACTAGTAGAAAAGTGAGTGAACAAACAGCTGCAGAGGATGAAGCTACGGCGGATTACGGTAACAAAATTGTTCGAGCATTGAGCATAAGAGAAGATTGGGGAACTCGTTTGGATCAACTGGAAAAAAGACTTGTACAACTTGTAGATACAATAGCTTGAATATGCACAATTCTAATACTAAACATACATACACATAAAAAACAATTGTTTATAAAATTTGTTTTTAGTGTATTATTATTCCCTCTAATTTTATACTTATACTGATAAATTATACTTTTAGATATAAATATAGTTTTATCTTTTGGGATCTTCAATACTATGATGAGCAATGTCTTTCAACTTGTGCAAATAGACACTTTAAACTATCCAAAATTTAAACGAGCAGACACGCCTGATGTGACAGCCTACACGTATAATGTTTTTGAATGTGTGCAAATAGACGCTTGAACTATCCAAAATTTGAACAAACAGACACACACTTCATGTCATTGCAGTTACGGATCAGAGGACCGAGGCTGCTAGCTCCATCTAAAAATCCAAATCTGGAATGACTATGACAAACAGTGAAGCTACAAGAGACTCGAAGCAGTTCATCTCAACAATTCATGAAGCAATTTATGAACTAAAAGTCAAGCAGACAATATAATGAAACGCCCAAAACATCTCCAACATCTATGTTTGTTTAGTTACAATGCCTCATTAAGTTGCTGAGATTGGTCTAACTTTTACTTAACTAAGTTTCCTTTTTATAAATAAAGAGGAAACAGGAAATAGTTGTCCTGGATTACTGGTCTGGTGTTCAATGTAAGTAGCAAGTCTACATTTCACCGCTCTAATATGGTCGATAACGTCTACCACGGTTGGAATCATCTCCGCCACCACTGGATCCTCCTCCTCGTCCTTGTGGTCCACCAGCACCATTGTTCCTGTCATTCCTCCGAGGCCGAACAGGTGGTGCCTGAACTCCTGGCTGCTGGCTGCATGGGAAATATCACAACGTTAAAAGGTTTTGATTTGTTCTATGCAGTCTATACTTCATTGGTGTTGCTAAGATATTGCATTATCAAAACTAGAATATTTCAACATTTATCTGAACATCTTAGTTATAATGTGTGATCATCCAGTCTTCCAGTATACGAAAAAACTGAAAATTACAGTAGTGATGATAAAAACTTTAAACTGAAATTTCAGAATACGAGCTAGAGGCAACCAGAAATAGATGTTAATATTCATAGGAACTTACAGGACATAGCCGATCTGACCATCTGGTAAAACCATTGGCACCATTTGCATACCTGTTGGCATCGGTCCTCTACCATATATCATAGGCTGCTAAAGAATAGTAATGTATGAGATGAATACGGTCAATTACAAAGTGAAGAATCGATGATGAAGACATGAAGTACAAAGAAAATACCTGTTGGAACGCAGCAGCAGCAGCAGCACCATAACCAGCAGTTAGAGGTGCATACGGGTTCATTGGAAATGCACCATATCCTGGATGGGGAATATAATTATGATGTGGTACCGCATTGTGAGGACTAGCTGCATCAAACTTCTTTTCAGTCTGAGGCTTTGCAAGAACTACTTCTAACATCTGACCTGCAATCCACATCCACTTAATTTATTTGCCAAGTGAAATACACAAGTACAATTCTAGTTTGGTACAGAGATTTCATATAGCTGACCCCCAAACAAGTTTCAGCTGAGGAATCGTAGACAGATTGATTAAAATACAGCAGAAAACACAGAATGACACTATCATAAAACTAACATGCTAAGTAATGTTAAACCTCTGAATAGAGAAGCATCATACAGTGATGCGTGAACGTAAATTTCAGAATTGTCACAAAACCGGACTAAACAAAGATGCATGGCATTTTTAACTTATTCTAGTAATAACATAATCCTAAGCTAATGTGCACAAAATACCCCCTCATATTGGGAAAAGGAACCCCGTGCTCATGGTATTTCCATTCTTTAAAAGTTAAGTAGCCCTCCATGTTATGTAGCAATACAATACCATCAAGATATGTTCTGGTTGTACGTTTCCACAATTTTACATCATTTTAGACCAATTAAATGGAGATCACACAACTAAATGCACAGGGAAATTCTAGATTATAATTCAGAGAGAGAAACTAAAAGTATTTATGGAAGCACATATCAATACAACAATGACAACACTCTTCAAAGCCAACAACCTATCAGCAGGAAATATACCAAGACCCAACAACCTGACTAATTCATTAGGCATTGTACAATATTCGAGCCAAAGTTGAAAAGTAAAGAGCAATTCAATCAGAGTTGAGAAAAGTTTGTGGAAGTAGAAACATGTTTCGCTATAAACTTCATTGGTAGAAAAAGTTTCGCCATAAACTTCATTGGTAAAAAAATTTCCGAAAAGTTTAAAAAAACTGTGAATGGGCACCGATATTTCACTTGAAATGCACCTTCAAACCAATATTTCACAAAAGTTGTGTATTTGCAAATACTCATGCCCAAATTAGTATTTGCAAATACTAAGTCCAGAATTTGCAATATAGAAGAAGTATATTCATGCATAAGCAGATCCTTAATAATTTAAAATACTAAAGCACAATCTTTAACCATATTACATGCCTTCAAAAAAAAAAATCTAACAAGTAGCTCAAGGAATTTAAACCCAATTGTGAAATGATATTTGCTAATAGTATTTCAATGATTTTGGTGAATTTTTGCTTTTTACCATTCAAACTCAGGTAAGACTTAAGTTGAGGTAAAAGTGATAGGATGCCTTCTTTTTAATCATTTTTGTGTCCGGACCAACGTATATGCACCTCGACTATTCAAACGGGTACCTGCTACCTCCGACCACTACAGGTATAGGATAACTCTCCACCAAGGTGGGGATGGTAAGAAAACACCTTTTGTTTTTGCTTATTTGAACCTAACACCTCATGATTCTCCTCCTACCCCACTGGCCACTAGTTCAACCCTTAGATGCAGGATGCCATGTCTTCCAATTTTATGTTCTTTCTTAGGTCTAATACTTGTAACACTACAGTGCTAGCAAAACTCAGAACGAACTAGATATATTTCATAATAAAAATATGATCGCAAATTGCCCTTTGCCCACCTTTAGTGGTTTAAATGCAACAAAGCATCTCATAAGAAATGAACCATACCCAAACTCAACCTCAAAAGCCAGTTCATGAGGTGAGGAATACCCAAGACCATACAAGGAGATCAATTACATGTCCTACAAGCAATGTGGGACCACTTAACCCCCTTCACCCTGCTCAAGTGTGCCAACTAGAGCATGAACAACATAATATGCAAACATTGGGACACATAATAATAGGTGTCATACTGTGATACTAACTCGGCCTCAAAAGCTAGCTCATGAGTTGAGAATTGTCCTAAAGCATATAAAGAGACCAATTCAGATCCCACAATCGATGTGGGACAACTTATCAACATCGATATCATGGTAATTGATTTTTCTCTTTTATGATTAAAACAAATACTTGGCAATAAGTTGACGGTATATGGGAGATGCCCAATGAACTAATGATTGATCTTGTTGTCTCTAATTCGTTGTACTGAAATAAAAAGCATTTATACTCAAAAGAGAAAATGTCAGTCTTGCATGAAAAAGAAAGAAAAACAACTGAGGACATCTAGTAAAGCACGAATGCAACGAGAGGTTCAAGAATATTTCACAAGGTTAAAAGTGATTCTAATTAATTGAAAAAAATGTAGGTTGAATCATCTTTGAGGATGGCTTCCCAAAAACAAATTTGGGTAGGCAGTTTTTTTCTTAAGTTGGAAGAGACAAATTAGAATGACCTAACTGCCGCACCAAAAGCTACTTGATGGCAAGGAGGGAAGCAGAATTTGATGGAGCAAACGACCCCAAGAGAGAAGACCATAAGAATGACGTTCAAATCAGGTCTAGCTCAGCAAAGCAAAGGAGGAATTTTTAGAAGTTTCAAACTCAAGAAGACGCCCCAAAAAAGAAGAGATTCTTTTGTTACCCAAGCAGCAATCCCTTTTTGCAGGTTATCATCAATAAGATCCTCATTACTTATCCAAAAAATGAAAAGATTCTTTGGTTGGAAGTTTGACTTGTAGTATGACTTTCTACTTAAAGAGAGGATACATCATAGGCAACCATCACTTGATCACGACAACTAATAAATCCTATGTATCCATTCAGTTCATTCAGATACTTTTCACTATGTATCTACTACTTTAATTTGATCATGGGTCCTTGTTGAGTGCAATTGATCTAATAACGAACTTTGACAAAAGTTGTATTTGTGTGATAGGTTGAACCAATTTTAGGCTTAACTAAAAATTAATTGATCTTGCAAGAGCTGCAAAACCCGAGTAATGGAAATTTCTCTCTTTGAGATGGAAGATTAAGGGACATTTTTAATCTAGATTTTAGTTTAACTAAGTTCATCTTATAGTTTGGTACAGTCCAGAGTCCAGACTTCGTAACTAGGTTCATAGTCTTTAAACAGATCTACACGGGATGACTTGATCCAGGAAAAGCCTATAACTGTCACGGGATTCAGAAATACACATTACACTCCTGACAACTGAACTGAGTTGATTTTAGTTTCAGCACAGCCCTAAGCAGTGAAACTTGTCTGAAAATCTTGAAATGGAAAAAGAGCATACACAGATGAGAGTTGATCCAAAACTGGGAAATATCTAGAGCTTTCACCCCAAAGTCAGTTTGACTTGAAAAAAACAGGCATCATCCATTACAATGGGATCTGGTTGATCATAGTTTGATAGTCCCAAATTTGAAACTAACTGTTTCAAACTCTTGAAAGAAAACATTTGCAGTGTTATAAAAGTTGATCAAAAATGAGCATATAGATCGCTTGCACCCCAAGGTCAGATGAAAAAAAAAAGTATGTCAATGACAATTGGACTTGGCCAATCTTACTTTTTGTTCAGCCCAAACTGTAATACTTAATTTCAAAATCTTGAAAAAATGAAATTATAGAGGATGAGAGGAGGTGATGTGAAAATTGGCTATATTCAGATGGTCATTTTGCTTTGATTCAGAAACAAAGGCACCAGACTCCTGACAACTGAAGTAACCTGACTTTAGTGTAGTACAGTTCAAACTCTAGACTTATTTCCTCGAAGTCCTAGAAATAATTACACAGGATGAGAGTTGATCCAAATACAGGCTATAGTATCTAGATTACTTTCACCCCAAGTTCAGCACAAAAACAAAATAGGCCTCACACTCCTGACAACACTTATGGGCATTTCTTCTTTGTAATCTCTTTATGATATCCTCCTAACTTTAACACATAATCTATCTATGATATAACAGAATATGTCATCAGTACAGTTTATGTATAAAGGAATAAGAGTTCCAACTTTCATTACTAAGTTTTCCAACTAGATTTAGCAAATCCTAAGAAAATATCAATTATAGCAAACTAGGAATTGTTGAACACAAAGCCTCAGCTGGTACTAAATGTTCCTAAATAGATCCTTGAAGCGTCATAATACAAATGAAAATTCTCAGATGATCAAGGACTTTTTAAACAAAAAAAAAACATATCACAAGCACATCCATCTCTACTCATTGATCACTTTAGGTATGTCCTCACAATGACGGACTAACTTCACGCCCACCCTCACCCCTTCTCTCTCTATCTCGTGATTTATTTATTTTCCTTTTGTTCTTTTCCTTGTTGGGAAGGGGAGAAGTGATTGACAGGAGGAGCCAGTGGAACACTCAGATGTAGATCCTGAGTTTTCCTTTATGCAATGTATGTTTTCCACTTGGTATTTACATGTCTAGAAACATTACCATTTACTTCATATGTTTCAGTGTCTTTAACAGCTTTCAGAGCGCTTGACCTTTCTGCATAATGGACAAATCCAAAGTCTCTTTTACCACCAATCTTGGCTGGCGGCATAACAACTCTGGTAACTTCACCATGGCGTTGGAACAATTCCTTCAATTGTTCAGTAGGAGTGTTTTCTGGAATGTTCTTCACATAGAGTGCTTTAACCTGCAAAAGACAACAGAAGATGTGTAATACAATGTGCAAACTAGCAGAAACAGGTTGAAATAAGAGTCTTTCTAATAGCGAAAAGCACAAAGAAGCAAAAATAAGGTCCCATAGGATTTGAAGCAGAAAGCAAAAAGCGATGAGCATGGTTCTTTATGTGAAGAGCACTATTTACTGGAAATAGACAATAAAAAGGGTAAGCCAGGGTCCTAAGATCGCGCTGTGCGAGGTCTGGGGAAGGGCCGGACTACTATTTACAGAAAATTAAAAAATATGATACATATATGACTTTAGTAATATAATAATCCAATTTCAATAAAAATACTAATTTCAATGCTTATTAACAATAATGTCAAGAATAATCCAACACCTCAAAGATGGGATTCATAACCGGATTCCTCATCGGAATCACTTTGCGCGTAATTCTTTGGAGATCACATTTATCTTAAGTGCATAGCTTCACCCATGAAGCGGTGATTCCTCACTTTGCATAGCTTTGTCGCTTAATAAAACTAACTGATAGAAAAGATTTCATTATTTTGCACGGGTGGATCTTCAATCAGACAATTGATTCATATTGGATTTGGACAATATAAAAAGTAACCTAACACCATACCAAATGTGGATTTATTTTTTGAAACTGGTAACATTTGTATTGATATTAGTACTTAGGTAGTACTGGAAGAACCATATTTACAACAGAGGAAGGTAAAAAAAAAAAAAAACAATCCTAACTCTAGATGGACCCTAAAACATCTAGAATTGACTCAGTCTCATTAGAGTAAACATTTGTACACCAAAATCAGAACAACAAAATACATTTAAGTTTTAATCTCCTGCACATTGTTGCTCCTGTTTTCAAAACATCCGTCATTTCTCTCTCTCCATATTGTCCATCTACCAACTATGTGATTTAGCTCACTATGACTAATCTTTTTTCTTTTAGGGATGCAATAGTAGTGACCATGCCAGCTTGCACACACTACCTTGATGATAGCACAAAAAGTACCTAGCCCAACACCAAGTCCGGCAAAGATACCAAACAAAAGTTTGAAGACTTTTAACTCTCTTTGAAAAGGTTGGATGCTTAGAAGAGCCACGGGAGGAGCCTATGGAAGCATACAATATGACCTAATTAGTGCTCAAGGAAGGGGGTCAAAGGTTCAACTCAAGAGAACAGGTGTACAAAAGGCCAAGAGTAAGAATGGCATCAAAAGTGCCCTCAATTTTGCACCGATGTTTTTGGCAACAGAATGGAGGCAATGCATTCCACCCCCAAAAGCACACCCCCACAAAATAGGCAACATTTTGGGCCAGTGAACACTCAGACCAAAAGCACCTCCTGCGCTTTGCATTCCGAACCAGCAGAATTGAATCCTAGGATGAGCTATTCTTAGTCCTACTTTCAAGGTTAATTTGGGTACTTATTTATTTACGACCAATGTAACCCATGGTATAAATAGTTTTCCAGGGGTTGTTCTTCCTTCTTAGCTAGCCTTTGATGAATATAGATTGTATCCTTACTCAACTTCCAAACCCTCATTGGTGCTTGCTTGACTTGATTTTCTCTTGGGGGTTTCAAATGCTCTTGGTGCTGAATTGAAATTTCCCAATAGAAGGTATTCGGTTTTTTTGCCAATAATTACCTATTTAATTCAATTTTGTATAAAACTTCTATTTCTACACCTTCATCTATTTTATTTTGTGATTCTTTACTTGTTCTTCCATTAATTCTACTATCACACCACTATTCCATAATCATGTAAGAGTATCTTTAGCAGGCACTAGGTTTACGAGTTTTAGTTCTCAACAAATCATATACACTATGAATTCTGCAGTAAAGCTACCCACCACAACTCTGCTCCAGCTATGGTTACAGCACGCCCAGAGAACCAAAAAGTTTGAGCTACCATCACAGTTTCCTGACTCAATAGTATCTAATGCAACTCAAATATATAATGACAATAAGTTCATTAGTTTTATGCACATTGAAAATACCAGCCTTATCCCCCTCCTCATTCCTAGCGACACCCACAATGCAGTAAACAAAGAAAAGAAGTTTGACTCAAACCCAATAAAAAGAAAAAGAAGAAGATGAAAGCAATTTTCTAGAAATACAGGGGGGAGGGGGGGAGGACAGGTAGCGTACTGAAGTCAAGCCAACAGGGCCACAAGTGGAAAAAAAGAATTAAGGGACTGATCATTCTGCTGTTGGTAAGGGTTCATAGTAAGAATCAAACACCAAGCATGTGACATTTGACACTTGGAGAAACAACATATCAAGAGTATTTGCTTAAGATTTCATAAAAGCTACTCAAGTAACTGTGAGATATATGGATTTTACCTGAGCAGCGGCAGAAGAATGATCAGGTGTAATCTTTGGATCAGCCCAGGTGACAGTTGGTGAATTTCCCTCCAGCTTAAAATTTGTACTTACCATTTTTCTCCGAGAGTAATCCGCACAGGCATTATTGTAATATTCAACAAAAGAAAAACCCCTATTACGTGCTGGGTTTTGAGGATCCTTCAGTCAAATATTAGAAGTTTATAATTGTCCATGAGAAGCTCATGATGGAGTTGCAACAATTTATATAAGTGTTTAGGACATCAATACACACCTTTATGAGTTCTATTGTTTCTGCACCAGGACCAGTCCCATCAATGACTTTTCTGAAGTCGTCATCAGACCAGCTCTTTGGTACATTACCAATGAACAATCTGTATTTAGTTTCTGACAGCGAACACCTTAAGGTTTTTCCCTGGATTGATAATAAACACAAAAACAAATAAGTTACAAAATTATGCACTTAAACTAAAAGAGAAGATAGAGTTATAGAAAAATATGATCAATGAAGCCAAGTGTGGATGCAGAAATCACCTTGAATTCTTTGTTATGCAATTCTTCAATAGCCTTTTGTGCCTCATCTTTTGTTTTGAATGCTACAAAGGCAAAACCCTTGCTTTCACCAGTATCCCTATTTCTCATGACTCTGACCTGCCAAGATATGAGACGATGCCACAATCAGGGAAAAGCAAACAATTGAAGTATGTCACAAACATATGCCTCTTGCAAAACTTTCACATTACTTCCAGGGTAGTAATTGGAACTACCTCATGTATTTCACCGAGTGGTTCACAGAGATCCCTCAGGTCTTCTTCAGAAACATCTCGAGGAATACCACCAATAAAAACCTCAGACCCGTGTGGAGGGAGAGCTAGAAGTTCAGCATGCTCTTTTTGTTCCTCTTCAGAAAGAGAAGCACTAGGCTTTTCTTCATCTGCAGCTGGCTCCGAAACATCACCCATATCTGCCTCTGGAGACTGCTCTCTCCCACTGTCTCCACCTCCAGAATCATATGATTGTTCTTCGCCATTTTCATCACCGACTTCTCCAGCTCCTTCATCTTCTATCAGTTCTGCATCTTCATCTTCCTCAGAGTAATTTTCATCATCAAGATCCACACGGTCATCAATTTCAGTATTCTCTGCCATGACTGTTTCGCGTTGCAGATTTTCTCATACAACAAATAAACAGGCCTGCAGACCACATTTATGTTAGCTTTTTTCCTTGTTGACAGATATACATCAATCAACCAATTAGTCAATCAACTGTTTCACACCCAAATTACTTAGGGTTAGCTATATAGGTATGTCAAAGGATGGCAAAATCATATTTTTCTTTAAAAGAGCAAGTCCACCCTATGGACATGCAAGTAATGAAGGAAGTTCAGTACTTTCTCCTGTTGTGCACCAAGAAGGAAAGACATGTAGGGCAGATAATATTTCAATAAATTCAGGGAGACAAAAATACAAAATCAACAAATGTGCAACCAGTTTCAAACTTATAGAAACACTTCTACCACTTTCTTCCTTCTCCATCTTTCGAAGCCCAATGTTCATTAGCCCATGGTGGCATAAATATAAGATGAAGTAGTAAACAATGGAGAAATGAAACTTCTTGGGTCATAAGAAAGAAAATACACTATTATCAATAGACGAAAAGAAAAAATAGCAAAGACACTTCCTCAAAAGGTTAAGATAACTTTCACCACTTGTTTGTCTAGTGTTTAAAGTGCTCAAAATGCCTATAGAAGGACAAAAGCTCTTCAGTGGACTCAACCAATTTTAGAACCAACATAGAACTATGAACTCATATAACAATTCAGGTATCTAAGGAGTTAAAATCAACCGCAAAACAAAATCTTAGAAATCAAACATCCGGAAAAAAAAGAAGATAATTTTGAAAACCCAGAGCTCAAAAACTAACAAAATAATCAAATGCTCAATACACCTATAAAAAAACAAAAGCTCTTCACTGAACTCAACCAATTTTACTACCAACATATAACTAAGAATACATTTAACAATTCAGACATCTGAGGAGTTAAAATCAAAGCTAAAAAATATGAACACCACCCCCAACACAAAATCCATTTTTTTTCCTTTCAAAAATGGTAAACAGAACAACCAGGGTCGGAGCCAGGATACCACAAGGGGGTTCATCAAAAAATTACCTTAGTGAAAATTCAGTCTCCCATTGAGAACGACCCAAATCAAAGATCCGAAAAAGAGAGAAACTTGAAAACCCAGAGCTCAAAAAAACAAATGCACCCAGAAAAACTAATGAGTAACAAAACCCTAACACAAACATAGATAAGTCCGTACACATCTATCAACGTTTTATATATAAAAATTCAAGATTCTGAACCGGTAATTCCATAATAAAGCTAAAAAAACATAGAGATGGTAAAAACTGATAAAGGGCAAAAGGAAAAAACCTTGTATGAGTATGGGCGGAAATGATAAATGGCAGAAATAGAGAATGTGAGAAGAAGACATTATATGTATATGTATATGTAGTAGAAGAAGAAGAAGAAGAATATATGAGTATTCGGGGGATTTGCATACCCAAAATTAGAGAATTTTTTGCTTATCTGTGTTGTGTTTCTGCTTCTTTAGGAGGAGAGAGTTTGAAGGCGAAGAAGCTAAATCTCAACAATACTGTGAAATTTACACACACAAAAAAGCTCTTTCAACCTCTTTTATACTGCCTGCGATTTCAGTGTGTTCCCAATTTGGCCCTAATTTGGGTATTTGGTACTCTCTACGCCCCGCTGCCCCTGAAAAAGAGGTTTATTTTGTCAATCCATAGATAGAGTTGTAGGGGTATTATCGTCAATTTGAAAAAATGAACCAAAATTGCCCTTGTACTATTGAAAAAGATTTGTGTGTTTGGTACGAAGATTTTTCAATTTACTCGTGTTATGTTTTCAAAAATTTTATTTTTTTCAAATTTAAGGAAAATGTCTTACCTCCAAAGAGTAGAGAAAAAAAATAATTTGGAACTAATTTTCAAACCGCATACCTCAACTTTTCATTCTAACTGAAGTTTTGGCTATCGAGTCTCAAAATTAATTCGGGATTCAACTGTTGATGTTAGATTCGGAATTCGAATTCTAACTTTGATTGGAGACCCAACTTCTGAGTTTCAAATTGGGTCAGATCCTATTTTGATGTCGGATTCCGAGTCATGATTTAAGATTAGATTTCGAATTGGGTGTTGAAGTCGAGTTATGAGTCAGGTGTCATAGTGACGTTCCGAGTCAGGAGTCGAAATGGGGTTCCGAGTATAGGTTGAGGTTGGGTCCCAGATAGGGAGTCAGAGTCGAGTCCCGCGACAGGTGTCGGGATCGGGTCCCGAGTCGGTGATACGTCATATTTCGATTCAAAAGTTGGGTCATGCATTGGCCGTCAAGGTCAAGTTTTGATTTAGAAGTCAGTTCTTGGGTCAAGGGTTGACGTCAGGATCTAGATCAAATGTCTAGTTCGAGTATCAAATCCATCATCGGGGTTGGGTGTTAGGATCGGATCTCAATAGAAAATCGAATTTCGATTCAGAGGTCACATTTAGGTGTGCCACTCAACAGGAATCAAACGATTTTCTTAATTTTTTGTGTATATTAGAAAATGAATTTTTTGGTAATATGAATTTCGGGCATATATTTCAACAAAATTTACATGACCCTTCGTAATGACATGTGGGAACAATACGTATAACTTCACCATGACACAAACCATTTTTTTTTAGCATTTAAGAGCCACGCAACAAGAATTAGGCGATTTTCTCAATTTTTCGTGTGTGTAAATGATTTTTTTGGTAATATAGGTTTGGGTACATTTTTTGCAAAAACTTTATAGAACCCGTTGTAATGACCTATGGGAAAAATAAATATACCTCACCATGATCCAGATCATTTTTTAGCATTTAAGAGCCACACAACAGAATTTAGGAGATTTTCTCAGGTTTTCGTTGGTATGAATTTTTTGATGATATAGATTTTAGATACCTTTTTTTAATAAAATCTTTACAAGACATTTCGTAACGACCTATGGGAATAATACATATAACCTCATAATGGTTCATGCAACTTTTTAAGTATTAAGGGGCAATCAACAAATTTAGACGATTTTCTCAATATTTTGTGTGTTAGACTGTTAGTACATGAATTTTTTGGTGATATGAATTTTGGGTGTTTATTTTGCAAAACTTTACATGATTCTCCGTAGTGACTCGAGGAACAATATGTATAGTCTCACCATGATTCACGCCACTTTTTGACATTTAGGGGCCACTCAACACAAATTAGACGATTTTCTCAATTATTCATGGTGTGTTAGTATATGATTTTTTTTGGTAATATCGATTTCAGACACATTTTTTGCAAAAAAATTACAAGACCCTTTGTAATGACTTGAAGAACAATATGTACACTCACCATGATCCACACCACTATCTTAGCATTTAGAGGTCATTCAAGAGGAATTAGGCGATTTTCTAGGTTTTTCGTGTATTAGTTCATAAATTTTTTGGTGATATGAATTTCGGACACATTTTTTGGAACAATTTTACAGGACCATCTGCAATGACCTAGGAAAACAATATGTATAGTCTCACCATGATACACACCACTTTTTTAGCATTTAGGGGGCACTCAACAAACATTTAGGCGATTTTCTTAGTTTTCGTATGTGTTAGTACATGAATTTTTTGATGATATGGATTTCATGCACAATTTTTGCAAAATATTTGCATCAGTGGCGGAGCCACCCTATTTTTAGGGGGGTCATCCGACCCCCCTTCGGCGGAAAATTATATTATTTTTATATGGTTAAAATAATTTTTTATGTATATATAGTAGATGTCGAACCCCCTTAGACTATATCGTGTGTCTATTTCTTCAGATTTTGAACCCCCTAATTAAAAATTCTGGCTCCGCCACTGATTTGCATGACTGTGAGGAACGATACATGTAGCTTCATTATGATCCACGTCATTTTTTAGCATTTAAGGACCACTCAACAAGAATTAGACAATTTTCTCAATTTTTCATATTTTTAATACATGAATTCTTTGGTGATATGGATTTTTGTCACATTTTTCGAAATAATTTACAGGACCCTACGTAATGACCTGGAGAACAATATGTATAGCATCAACATGATCCATACTAATTTTTAGCATTTAGGGTCCTAGGAATTAAGTCATTTTCTTAGTATTTTTGTTTGTGTTAGTCCATAATTTTTTTGGTGATATATATACCTTTCAGGCACTTTTTTCCAAAACCTTTACAAGACCATATGTAATGACCTGGGGGAACAATACTTATAGTCTCACCATAATCCATGCCACTTTTTTTTAGCATTTAGGGTCACTCAACAGGAATTAGACAGCTTTCTCAATTTTTCGTCAGTTCCTGAATTTTTTGGTGATATGGCTTTCAGACACTTTTTTCCAAAACATTTATATAACCTATAGCCTCACCATGATCCGCACACTTTTTTAGCATTCAAGGGTCACTCAATAGGAATTATGGGCCATTTTTTTAGCATTTAAAGGTCCCAAAATAGAAATTCAAGATCTGTTAGTTTTTCGTGTGTAAAGTCCAATAAAGTTGGGGAATATGATTGACCTAATCATTATTTATCTTACATTATTAAAATTCTGATTATTGTTATAATCATAATTTTGCCTAGGTAGAGATACTACATAATTTTGTTTTAATTTGTCTATATGGCTGCAAGAAAGCATGCTTTGACTTGTATCCTGGATGAGGAAGATGTCTCTGATACAGAATGCCAACACATTGGAGCTACACAAGTTGAACAAGAAGTGCTTAAAGCACCCAAATATCCTATTTTTATCAGTTCCATATACAATTGTTTTATAAACATAAGATTTTCTTTGATTGAAACTGGTTTAGAAGAAAACACTAGGGGAATTACAACAATAGTCAACATTAATAAGAAAGTAAACTAGCAGCTAACAAACATCTTGAGTTGAGAGAACTGAAGTTACTTGCATCTCTCCCAGGGGTAGCTGATGTCTTTTTCAACGCGGGTTTATTCATGGGAAGTCTCTATCAGCCAGAAGCAAGAATGACAACATCTTCAAAAATGCACATCATGTGGTGAGAAAATATCAGAACACTTCCAGATGCTGAATCGAGCCTAAACTAGCACCAGATGTGTATTCATGGCTAGACGACCAAACTCCATTAGCGAGTGACAGTGTTCATCAGAGGAAGCCCAAACATCACATTGCAAGCATACTTTACAAGGAAATGAATTTATCAAATTTGAAGTGACTTCGGCCTCCAAGTGGATGCTATGAGAAGTGTAAAATCAAATCTAGGGGTCATCCAATTCAACAATCTGTGCTCTTTTCTCAGCAGCTTTCTTCCTGATGAAGATGCCCCATCTCAATGCTGCTTTCAGTTTGAGCCACCCAACAACAGCCTTTCCTGAACGTGTACGGTCCTCATCAATACCAAAGCTTGAAGACATACTGGGCATGTATGGTGATCCATATGGGTAATTATTATCTTCTGAGGTACTAGAAGAAGCATGATGCTGGCCACCCATGTTGAATATATGGAGAAGATGTTGCATGTCGTCATTCTCTAACATTTCATGACTTCTGGTGCGTATCTCTTCCTCTGTGAAGAAGTCATCAGTTCCTTTATAGGATGAATTAGGAGTGCTAGCAGCAAAAAAGCTAGAAAATGATGGCTGTGGTGGGTGAAGGGCCAGTCTACTCTCACTTCCAGGTTGCTGAGCTTGTTGCGACATGCCTACAAAGTGGTTTTGAGAAAATGAAGCACCACTTAACTGTTCATTGACACTAACATTCGTGTTCTGAGACTCTGTGGTATATGTACCCATTAGACTATCGTTATACCCTGGCAAAACAGAGATATGTTCATTATGAAACAAAACTTGATAAAAGATATGCAAGAGACAAATAGGTGTTATTGCATATCTAATAGCTAGCTCAACTGGGCAATTATTCATACTTAGATCAACGAATTGTTAGGGAAGAGTTCCAAAGCATTCAAGTGCTTAACTAGAATGAGTTCATGTCATACATGGCAGTAAAATATAAAGCTTAAGGTACTCTGTCCCATTTTACGAGACAACTTACTAGGTATGGTGACCTATGTTGCTCAGATTCTTCAAAAATGTTGCCGAACCCACGTCAGATCCTCAAAAAATGCACTACTTTTGGAGGATCAAACACGCACCCATCAACATTTTAGAAGAGTCTGAGCAACATAGATGGTGACTAAGAAGTAAATTGCCTTGGACATAATTTTTTTTAGGTCACTTGTATTCTATTCCAAAAATCAAACCTGCCACAACATATTACAGGTTTACTAATTGCAAATATAGGAGATTATCAGGAAGATCTTCAACCTTATTAGCAAAATTACAAAAATGCCTAAAACATTCATCACTGATTCTAGATCTTCCATAAACTCTTGTTTACACCAAAAACTAAACAAAAGCAAACAATTCATCTTCATCTTCTGGATGTTGTTGCTTTTGTTCTGGAAGCATCTGAGATTCCTTTCTTTCCACACAGACCACCAAATACATGGGGAATGATCTTTCATAAGTTGGTTAAGAGTAAAACATCGCATTATCATACTTAGACTATTTTCACACTGATTCAAACTATT